AAAAATAATGTAAGGACATTTTCTTTCCTAAATTAATAAAACTAATATTATTCTCTCCTGGGGAAGTTTTATCCACAAATGCCATAACCAGCAAGCAAGTAAGTACCTTCTTTCTAGGTAGGTGTGTATGACTATCACTTTCCCTCTTCTCCATGTAAAATGTGCTTCCTTTTAGCAAAAACAGGAGGTAAGTGAAAGTGATGTGTTTCCCGCTCTGTGTCCTGTTTCTCCAGCCTCCCTTCAGGGTCCCTCTCAAGTCTTCTCCTCCCTCAGGCCGAGGAGCTTAGTCCTTGGACGGTCCTCTAATTCATTCTGCCAAAGGGAAAAGTAATTTGATAAACTCCTTCACAGTAAGGTACTAGAAAATTAATTATCTGCTGATCTCATGAGTATTTGCACTTTAAAGGAAAATCGCAGAGAATGAACAACGCCTGACCATCATAAATTACTCATTAATTATGGAGTTTCAGGCATGTGCGGGAAGATCCTTAGAAGTGACGAGAGATCTGGAGAGTACTCTCAAATCACAGAAGGAGCAAGATGATCTTGTCTATTTACTTGTCAGAGTGGTCAGGAGATGGAGACAAATCATATATTTGATGATAACCATTATATTCTCTGGAAGATGCCTAAAAAATATCTCAGTGGGTATTACTATTTATTTAAAAAATGCATGATCATGCTATTTGTTTTACCTCCAGTAAAAACTGAAGAATATATTCCTTGGGAGAATTAGAGTAAAGCAGTTACCTCTGACCCTTCTGCTGTGATCCCAAAGCCTCTGGTCTAACTTGGGCAGAAAACTGGTGCCCACCAAATATTTCATTTATTCATGGACGTCCTCCTGTCCCCTTTGTGGCAGGTGGGACTATATGAAAAGTTCTGGCCACTGAAATGAGAGCAGGCATGATGCCTATCACTTCTAAACAGAGACAGTAGAAAGTTCATGTGTGATTCTGCAAAGTCTCTGTTCTGTGGATTAAGAGGTTGTCAGTTCCAGATAGTACAGCTTTGCGATGATGGAAAGTCCATACGCCAGGGTCCCTGAGTGTAAGTCACTGAGACTTGTAGCTGCAGCACAGCCTGTCTGTGCTGTGATCCGACAGGTAGAGTAATATAATCCCATTATGGTGTTTACCATATTGGCTCATAGCTAGTTTGTTACCTATCTTCAACCCCACCTTAACCCGTTACTCCTTACTTATTTTCACAGCTTTGTTCTAAAACAAAATGCAGTTGGAGAAACCATAATAATGTGAGAGTATTTTTTGAAAACTTAAAAATTAGGTCATAATTTTAAGACAGTTACATGGTGTTAGAAGATGAGGATAATTCAATTCAATTCAATTCAATTCAATTCAATTCAATGCATCTACTGAGCAATAAAAGTGTGTGATATGCTCTGTGTTATCCATAGACCTTAGTCGGTAACATTATTAATGAACACAAATAAGATGCTAGTAATAGTTTTTAACAATATTAATCATAGTTTTAAGAGCCTAAGAGATAATAGAGACTGTATATTGGTCTCAGTCCCTGGGTCCTGGCACAGAGTCCTAAACTCCTGTAAATTCCTACAGGCTAAGAGCAGTAGGATCCTGTTTTGTTCTAATGAGGCAACTCTGGGTGGGCCCCAGGAGGACCCCTGAATGGGCACTGGTTACCAGAAAGACCAAGCCATGAGTAGGAATTTGGAATTTTCAGCCTCACTACTCACCCTCCAGAGAGGGTGAACGATAAAAGTGGAATTAATGATTGACCACGCCTGCATGAGGAAGCCTTCATAAAATCCCAGTAGTACGGGGTATGAAGAGCTTCCAGGTTGACCAACATCCACACTGGCAGCGTGACACACCTGAACTCTGTGGGGACAGAAGCGCCTATGCCCAGAACCATGCCATACCTCACTCCATGTATCTCTTCACCTGTCACCTTTATCATATCCTCTAATAAACTAATGCAAGAAATGTTTCCCTGAGTCCTGTGAGCCACCCTAGCAAATTAATTGAACCTAAGAAGGGAGTCATTGAACCCTCTGATCTGTAGCCCTTTGATCAGAGGCACAGGTGATAGCCTGGGCTTGGGACTGGCATCTGAAGTGTGTCGGGGGGAAGGGGGAGCGATCTTGTGGGCCTGAGCCCTGCCCTTTGGGATCTGACACTATCTCCAGGCGGAGAGTGTCAGAATTGAGTTAAATTGCAGGACACCCAGCTGGTGTTGCAGAGAACTGCTTGGTGTGGGTTGGAACCCCCACACATCTGGCGCCCAGAAGCAAAGTATTTTGTGTGAGTAGCAAAGGAGATTCACAGAGAGGAACACAGAGCAGGGAAGTAGCAGGTTTTCCTCTGCACCCAAGGGGAAAAAAATGAATTTTTCTTTTACGGATGAACTAACTTTGTAGATTTATCACAATAGATGGGGAGAGACGGTTGATGTAATAATGTATTACATTATAAATGTATAAATACTTTATAATAATGTATTTCTGGTTTAAAAGCATCAATGAATGACATGATAAATGTCTAGAAGTCTGGTTTTCAAAACAGATATCAAACCCAGAATGATATCAATCTCCTAAATTTTCCAAATCATATAATGTGAAGATATACTTGAAGCAATATTGCCACATGATTTTACAGAGAATTACATTTTCTCAGTCACCTTATATTCACCATCCCCACTGTTCCCCGTAACAGCTTCAAAAGTGAGGTCTGACATTACAGTAATAAATTATGGGTGATTTTCATGTGGAAATCAAGGCTCTGATATATTGACATGATTTGTCTGTGGTCACACAGTCATAATTGGTAGAGCGAACAGTAAGCTACCCCGGTAAAAGGGTTTATGAGAAATTTCTTTGACATGTACATAAATGAGCTCAAGCTAAGTTTTTCTTCCGTTTTGACAAGCAGGTTTTTTACACCAACCATCTCTCCCCATCTATTGTGATAAATCTACAAAGCACAAACCTATACTATAAAACCCCTATCCAGTCTTAATCACATTTCTAAGAATTTTCGATGAACCCCCAAATAATGAAAACCTGATGACATTCACATGATTACATTTTCAACGTTGCTCAAGGACAGGGCATTCCATGTGAGTAGAAACCCCCGTTTCCGTCAAGGAATTAAACAAAAAAGAGGGGAGGGAGGGAGGAGAAGGGAGGAAAGGGAAAGCAAGAAAAATAGATTTTTTTCTGTTTATGAACAAGATAGAAGACAGTGGCAACTCCCATCAACGNCGGAGAAGGGAGGAAAGGGAAAGCAAAAAAAATATATTTTTTCTGTTTATGAACAAGATAGAAGACAGTGGCAACTCCCATCAACGATGCTAAAATGGAGGTTAATTTAACTGAACAGCTTACTTCACCTTTTGCAGATATTTTCCATCTCCGTTTTCATTTCCTAATACTGGAATAACTTCAGTTTAGCGCTACCTGCTAATTCTATCCCAGTAACACGCACGCCCTCAAAATCATCACCAAAAATGTTGAGGTAGATCTAGTTCCAGGCCCGAAATGATGCCTGGGCTGCTTCAGTCCTCCTGCAGCCGGGCAGGCTAGTTTAGCCTCGCCTGCACCTCTCCATCTCCTCACCTAAGGCCAGCAAGCAGGGTCGCAGCGGATGCCATTGTTTAAAGATCACCTGAGTCAGGACTGTTTCTTTTTCCTATTAAAAGAACCGGGGCTATTTTATACTGTTTCTAAGGGTCTAGCCTCTTCCTATCTATTTGCTTAAAAAACCACCACCACATTAGGGACGTCAGTGATTCATTAGTAAATTCTCTTCAGGTCTCAAGGTCCATGTTTTCCAAGGTGCAATTTCAATACATAACTATTTTTGCAAGCACTTCAGCCCCTTGCCTTTTGAAATCAATAAGCCATATTGACAGCGTTTTAATGATCCCGGGTGTGCACCCCTGTTTTGATTTTCCTGCACAGAACAAAATCCGACAACTGTTTTCTTAGTTTGCTTTACTCCATTCCCTCTGAACCTGAGTTTTCTCCTCTAAGACAGAATAGTCTTACTTATTGATTCATTTACAAAGAATTAAAAAAAAATCAGAGTGAAATAAAATATCCAGCTCTGTTAATAATCAGGCAAAGACTTAAAAGGCTGTCTAACTGGCTTGCAAAAAGTAGTTTCTATTTTAAGCAAACTGGCTAACGCACATTGAAAAAGCCATTTTATAATGATAATCATTCATGAAAAATACAGTGACGGTCAAGTTTATCTAAATGCACCTGACTCTCAATGCTGCTTCATGCAAATAATAGAACCAGCACTTTTGTGAGCTCCCAAGCAATGCTGAGCCCCTCGGCCTTCTAAGAAGTCAAGTGTTTCACTGCGATTTCAGCAAGGCTAAGCCACTCTCTGTGCAGAAACCCAAGGGATTCTGCTCAAATTAACTCACTCTCGGGTATTTACACTTTCAATTTTCCCTTAGTTTTATTTTCCTTATGTAACCGACATGTACTAAACGTAGTACATGCTGTAAAAGAGAAGCAGGTGAATAAATACCTCCAACTGCAACCAGAGAAGGCTGCCTTTCATCCCAGCCTGCTGGGAGAGAAGTGGGTTAGATCCACATTTTCTGAACCCTCGCTGTCTCAACCGATGACCCTCGGAAGGACTGAGGCACACCCGGCCACAGGGTGTCAGTTCCAGAAAGCGTGACAGCCGTCACGTGGGAACATACACACGCTCTTCAAAAGACAACGGCGCAGCGAGGGCAAGGAGACGGGACGGCGCCAGTCCTAGGATCCCGAATGGTTCGCGATCTTTTAAATCCCCCGGCGTCACGAACAGTTTAGCAAATATTCAGGGAGCGGGAAAAGCGAAGCCGTGATAACCAACAGGCGGCATCATTGCTAAGGTCCTTAAACTTAGTTTTCAGAATTTTGGAAACGGTTTTCTACCCTCGTTCTGGACAAGACTGATTTCCAAAATAGAAAGGCTCGCGAAGGAACAAGAAATAAGGAGCGCAAGAGTACTTACAACTGATCGGATGCTGTTTTCTTTCGCCAGTTTCAGGGACGACTTGTAGCAATTTGCAAGGTCTTCCTTCTGGGAGCCGTTAATATGTCCCCTCGCTATGGGCCCTACCGTGTGGATGACATCTGCAAATGCAAAAGGGAGAAAGAATAGGCTAAGCAAGGCATTTGTCACTTTTCATGTGATTGGTGCTGCATTTATCGCAGGTATTTGTGTTGGGGTCTGCAGATGAGCAGGCTGAGAAACACTGGCGATGAAAATGCCTCTCTGGTGAAAGACATTAGACGGCACAACCTCCCAAAGTCGGCGACTTCCCAGGAAGGTGATGCTGTGAAAAAGACACCCCCCCAACAAATCGTTAGGGTCAGATCCTAGTGAGACAGATTATAATACAGGATGCGAATAAATGGCACCCTGCAAAAGATGAAACCTTGTGGGAAATAAACTGAGAAATAACTGCCTGAAAAACAAGCTGTTTGAACTGACGTGGGAAGGAAGAACCAGTGTCACCCATCACTTTACTGGCAACTAAGACAACAGATCCAGGCACTGACACAGAAAAGAAGGGCACGTTTCTGAACATATGCCAAGATAATTTATGACCGTCAGCAATAACCCTAAAAGGAGTCATTTTAAAACATGTCCTCCAATTTTAAAGCGCAGCCTGCCAATCCTCACCTATAGGAGGTATCCCAGGGACAGCAGTGCCGTGTTTCTGCCTGTTACGACCCAGGGTGGGGCAAAAGTAGGGTTAGAGTTGTTTCCATGGAACATAATGCAAAAGTTCATAAGTAATAATACAAAACTCTGTGTTTTGCATATTTACAACTGTAATATTCCTGATCCACCTGGATATTAAAACTTTCAAAAAGCAATCTATACTTTTCTACCTCTAGTTACATTTAAAACACAAAATTTGATTTTGCGGGGCTTTTTTGCATATAAAACCAGCCATTGGGGTATGCTTTTAATATTGACACATACATAAACTTTTAGATTTAGGATCATAATGGAAAAGGACTGTCCTAACTTTAAGTCCATAAAGATTATTAAAAAAAAAAAAAAAAGACACTCAAATTTTAATCCAAATCTTTTCAAAACGCCTTAAAACTCTTGCTTCCCAGTTTTACCTGTTGATCTTGATTGTCAGCCCATTTCATCGCTGTAACAACAACTAATCAAGTTTGGTCGAAAAGAAAAATTTAGTCTAATAGCTTTGGAATATCACAATGAAAGGCAATTATTTTCTTTGGCTAATTCTACCACATATTAATCTCGAAAGCAGAGGGAAGTGGGACACATTACGGAAGTAAGCCTGTGGAACGAACAGTTTTAAATCTCATGAGATTTAAACAGCACAAAATAAACCGCTAGGGAGAGATCTTTGTTGATTGCCTGCTAAATGTCATTTGATGTTTGAGAAAATCTCCAAAAATGTTGATTTCAACTTTTAGCTCTAACACAGTATTTAAACCCTAATCAGGTAATGTTTAAGGTGATATCTTGTGAACAAAACAGGCAGAAACGTCACCAGTGAGCTCATACAGACGCTGTTTCACAGGCTAACCTGGCTTTAAGGTGAGACCACTGCAATAAAAGGAAAGGGTAAAGCGGTATTAGGTTGTATTTATTTAAAAAAAGAAGAAGAAGAAGAAGAAAGAAGGGGAGAGAGAGCACACATTGATTTTTTAATTTTTTTTTTTGTAATAATAGTATCAAGTGAGGGTTGCATATAGTAAAACAAAGCAAGTCCTATACCCCATGCAGTACATTTTTATATGAATATTTCACTTTCCTTTCTGTTTTTAAATTAACGCTACAGTACGTGAAGAAGAAAGATCGTCCTTGGCTTTATTTTTTCTTGGGTGACCCCTTGCTGCGTGTGCCCAGCTGGGATAATTCTGCAGATCAGCATTTCCCAAAGTGGGTTCAGTCAGATACGGGTGTAAAGGTCAATTAAGCTGGGGAATCACTGGCTGAAATTAAGTGAACCAGTCACCTTCGGGGAGGGCCTCTCTGGACAGTCTGTGTGCTTGTAGCACATTGAGGGTCTCCGCATCGGGGACACAGGATACTCTGTTTCTCAAATACCTTTGACTACTGAAACCTACGTTTTGCAGAGCACTTCGTGGGGCTATGTTTCCACAAATTAACCTTTGCAAAATGTTCCAGAGAAATGTTGGCATCCTGATTGCACTGTTAAAGGTAAAGTCCATGTTTGTTCCAGTCCTTCCCCAGGGCGGCTGTACATCAAACACTTGGTATGTAAGGAGCAACTGGACATGACCTTGGTTTCCTTGTTAAATGGATGGGGAAGGTCAAGAATAAGTGTCTCTTATCTGGGTTCATAAAGATGTATCTAGTTGAGCCAAGTAAAAGCAGGGCTTAGGGGCATGAATGGGGAGGAAAGAGAGAGAGGGGCTGGAAAGATCAGGAAACAGTGACATCATAAACTTTTTCCTGGCTTTTTTCCTCGCACATCATTGTCTACATAACGCAAATGAAATTTATGAAAAATTACTCCTTGCATATCTTTAGTTCTCCATTTAATTTAAAAGTCTGAGGAGAAATAGCCAACAAATGAGCCTCCTCAACATCAAATAAAATCCCTATATTTTTTGCTCCATGTTAAATTTACAGCACCTAGGATCAAGTGTTATGATCAACCGACAAGATGACCTCTGAGATCCACAAAGCGGAGGTGAACCAATGTAAGGTTCAAAGGAAATTTTCTTCATTATTTTAATTGTTCATAGTACTTGTGAGTAATTATCCCACACCAAGGAGTTCCTTTATTTCTTCTGTAAAAGGCAGTCAGGGGTCCTGCCTTCTGATGCCAGCTCCAGGCCTGACTCATCAAATGCCCCAGGTGAAGCCATTATTTTATTGGTTCCATGCCTTGGTTTTATTTTTTATTTTTAAATCCTCATCAGAGGATATTTTTTTCCATTGCTTTTCAGAGAGGGGAAGGGAGAGAGAGGGATAGAGAAAGGGGCGGGGGGATAGAGAGAGAGAAACATGCCCTCAAGAGAGACGCATCGATCGGTCACGTCCCCCAAATCGCCTCGACTGGGGCCAGGTATCAAGCCTGCAACTGAGGTACGTGCCCTTGGCTGGAATTGAACCTGGGACCCTTCCGTCTGCAGGCCAACGCTCTAACCACTGAGCCAAACCGGCCTGGGCTGCCTTGGTTTTCTTATCCATGAAACAAATCAGCTGCTTAGGTGATGTCTGTGGTCTCTTCTGTGCTGTGTGTCATCATTAATATGTCCCCTTGTGATGGAGACAGATGGAGTGCACAGTGATGTCTGGGCAGTTGACCAAAACCTTAAACATGGTTAAGTGGCTCGTGAGCCTTGTGAGTATAAGGATCCATTTTTATTACCAAAACTATTATAGACTACGCTTTCACAGTAATAGTTTCAAAGTCCATCGATTGAAACAAGTTAGAGACAAATAGCTATTATAACTTGAATGATGCTTTGTATTAATTTATATTTTATTATTAAGCACAACAGCATTTTCACATGAATTTGTGGATCTCGTGGTGTAAATACAATAATGTAAACAGAAGTGTTTAATTTGATGTCTGGTGCATGCAGAGGCTCAAGGAATAGTCATTATCACCACCACCAGCAGCAAAAGCATCCAAGGCATCTTGAAGACACAGGTGGGAAGGCCAGAGGCGGCCTTTCAAGGCTTACTTGTTATATTTCTGTCATCATCTCTACTCTGGTGTGGAAAGAATGCTAGACTATAAGACCTAAGATCTGATTGTGAGTCAGAAGTCCCACATCTGTCACTATCCAGCTGTGTGACCTTGGGCAAGTCACTCTGCTCTCTGCACTTCCATCTTCAGAGCTAAAAGAAGGAACTCAGTAAGAGGACCTCTACGATTCTTTGCTGCTTTTACTTATTTATTTAACCCTCACCAAAAGATATTTTTTCCATTGCTTTTCAGAGAGAGTGGAAGGCGGGGAGAGGAAGGGAGAGAGAGACAGAGACAGAGAGAGAGAGACAGAAACAGAGACAGAGACAGAGAGAGATCTATTGGTTGCCTCCTGCACATGCCCTGACTGGGGCTGGGGATCGAGCCTGCAACCGAGGTACAACACCCTTGACTGGAATCGAACCCGAGACCCTTCAGTCCACAGGCCAACGCTCTAACCACTGAGCCAAACTGGCCAGGGCTCTTTGCTGCTTTTAAATGCAATTCATCTTCTGGCCTATCAAGAATTGACCTATATATTCTAAATAGTCTAGTTTATTATTATTTTCCAGATAAATGAGCATCAGTCATGGTTCAAGTTTCTCAAACACGCTTATACAATGAAGTGCAATTTGGTCCCATCCCCAGAGAGAGTGCCTACGATGAATAGTATTGTTAATGTGCTTTTCAAAGATGAGCTTATAGCACTATAAATATGAAACTATTCTTAAGTAAAAAATATATAATTTCAAGGGATTTCATAGAATGGCTCCAGTAGGTATATCTTTCCTTTATTTTGCTACTCTCAATAATCTCTCCCTATAAAACAACTATTTTCAGATAAAGGTAGGGTTTAAATAGTGGACAATAGGATATTTTTTCCTGTATGGCTAGTATCTATCTTTAAAACTTTACTGTAATTTTAACACGTCAACTGGGTTCTACATACCTTAGAGTAGAAATGTAGTACAAAGATGTACTTCTTGGATATCTCAGTAGCCAAACAATTTTGAATAATAGTCAAGAATTTTTAGAAATGAATAGAATGATTGAGAATATTTAATCTCTTTTCCCTTACTTAAGGGAAGCAGAGAGGCGGGATAATACGCGCAAAGTCACAATCAGTGTGGGAAGGCACAAATCACAGTGACGATCTGGTCATGAATAAACATTCCCCAAGGTGACTACTTACTGAAGAAGGTGGCACACATTTGTGTATATAAAATGGGGCACGTTGATCATGAATCCCATTACTTTAGCCTCATACTTTGTATATATGCAGATTCTGGTTAGCTACTGTTGTGCAAAATATCACCCTGAAACATAGTGACAGGGACAATAACCAACTTTTTTTTTTTTTTTTATCATTGCTCTGGGTCAGAAATTCTGAAAGGACTCGGGTAGGGGGTCTGGCAC